ATCAGATTAAAAAATAATAAGGTTAAAAGTTAGATGATCAGTTTTAATGTTGTTGATTAGAACTCTAAACGAAGGGACTCGTTTATGTGACGGATGGCCGACTGTAACAGTCATTTATTTTATCGCTTACCATATTTATACTCATCACTAATTAATAATATTATTCACTTTAAACACTAATTTAATCTAATAGTAATATTCCTAAAAACCCAAGTTATTCATAATCATAATTTTAAGTTGACTCATGAATCGATTGGTTTCCGAACGTTGCAACACTGTCTCGGCCCGCCATTTTTTCGAATTGTGAACCCGCCATTTTTTGGAATTGTGAACCCGTCGGGTACAGCTGTGCAGCGAGAGTGTTTTGAAAAGTCAAATAAAATTCTATTTCAAAGTTTGTGTTTACATCAAGAACCCCATCCTTCTGAGCGTTTCATAGGTAATGGTTTTAAGTAAGGATATATTTTTCTTGTCACAATATAGATTTCATGTAAATACCTTCAATATTTAATCAATTTATTATAAACTAGCTGACCCGGCGAACTCTGTTCCGCCTTAAACGCAATAAATAAGCCGATTTTCGAATTTATTAAGTTAATTTTTTTTCTTAGAATAAAAAAATGAAGTACAACTGTTGTCGACAACGAAATCCATTCTTTTCACTTTTGTTGTGACAGTTCCACCATTGTCATCTGGTGATCGACGCCGATACAAAAAACAAAAAAACGGAATAAATAGTATCCTATGTCCGTCTCCTGGCTCTAAGCTACCTCCTCACCAATTTTCAGCCATATCGGTAAAGCCGTTCTTGAGTTATAAATAGTGTAACTAACACGACTTTCTTTTATATATATAGATTAATATTTTGTATGATGGCATACTCATTATTCGGGAACGAACGCATCGAAAATTTGAATTTTACCGCGCCACCGCCTCCTGTCATCTGATGTCACATTTCGTGTGACACTGACTTATGTTTAGGGGTAAATATTTTTTAGATGTGTTGAACTCATGAAAGATCTTTCTCTACGTTACGAAGATTTAAATCGTGGCTAAGAGCTTCAATGGTTGAAGAACGTCTAACCGGACTGCCACTTCTCCACGTCCATAAAAACGTACCCATTGAAGTAGATGAAGTGATAACGCGTTGCGGGAGAAGACGTAAAAGAAAACTTGATTTTGTGATTTAAATATAGGTATTTTTAAGTACAGTAGGTGAATAGGTACTTATAGTCTGGCAAATAATAGAAATAAACGGGGGCGCCACTGTACAAGCTAAATACGCGAAATAGATAAATTCTCTTTTGGAAGGAATTATTACTTCTGACTGACGTCTTCGGTACCTGTACCATAGACAAGAAACCCGTTCTTCAATAGATTAGTAGAGAAAGGGTTTCCAAAGTAATGAAATTTTAGTTGCCGTTTCTACCCGTTTTTGCCAGACTATACATACATTAATAAAATACATACTTTTTACTTTTATGTATGATTATAAAAATTAAATTATAACTTCTTGTGACTTGACCACGACTATGTGACCCCCCCCCCCCTGGCATCAAAGCTGGATCCGCCCTTGGTGTCAACTCCGACCCACAACTGGAGTTTACTCCTTAATTTGTAGTCGCTGACGCGTGCTTCGAAACGCGTCAGCGACGTCACGACGGAGCGTCAGATGAATGCACTAAATGTAGAGAATGACATTCGAGCGCAGCGACATTGACGCCGTGTCAGTGTCGCTGCAACTGTGACGTTAGGCGCCAGCGTCACTGCCACACTCATGTAGTGTCGCCACCGTCCACATGTATTTTGAGGTTAATTTATATAAAATGGCATCTATTGACAGAAGAAGATAAAATATTAACGACACATATGGCTCAGCATCCATTGCTTTATAATTAAAGTATGGAAGACTATAAAAATACGCGAAAGAAAGAGAAGATATGGGTTGAAAAAATAGAATGAGTAGAGACCCTTTCGACGCTGAGTTAATATCGAAGTAAAAGGTCATCTTCTTCCTCTCCTATAATCAGATTAAGAAGATCCATAATGAAATACTTTTAAGACCTAGCGAGATGTGGTGGGCGCGGCAAAGGTGACACGACTGATCGACTGTCTGTCGTTGACATACAAAGTCACCAAGGACCATTGCCCCAGTAGCAGTGGGAGTTTTCCGCGAAGTAAAAGCATTATAATATTAGCCAAAAGACGTCCACTGCTGGACATAGGCTTCCCCCAATTATCTCCCACTGCGACTGGTCAGGCACCTCTCGTAATTACAGCATAACTTTTTGCAAATTCAAACCCTTAAGAACGGAGCGTACTCCCAACTCAAATACAATTTACTTTTTCTCATAAAACAAATCTTACACAAAGCGAACAAGTGTATATATACAAGCTATGTATATATAGAAGATTCTTAGGCTGAAATTTATAAAGCGTACTTAGACTTTGCTCAGACTTTGCTTACGCTAAACTTACCTAAGTTCCTGCTCAGTGTAATCTTAGCATTCGAATTTATAGTCCTCTTGGGCTAAGAATTTACTGAGTGTATGCTAAGCAAGAGCTCAGGAAAATTTTTTAAACGTTTCGATTTGCATAGCATATTAATTTAAATTCTTGGTATTTCAAAAATATATTATTTTTAAAATAGCTGTAATAACCTAAAATATTAGTAATCTTATAAATTTTATCATATTATTGTATTTCAATCAATTAACACCTTTAGTTTTCATTGATTTTAAGTGATAAAAGGCAAAAATAACACATGTACAAGTAAAACAAAACGTACGTATATTTGACTTGTCAAATGTCATAACAATATTTGAGGTTGTCTCGTCTCGAGTTCATTCGCAAATATATCAATTTCTTGTATTAACTTTTTATCTTGACCCTGGCACACTCTTACGGACTTCTGTTACAACGCTTTCGAACTAGATTACGGCTTTTCTTCCTGGACAATCGAACCATCTTTTCACATTGACTCTGGCATATTAATCGTAAGTAATCGCTAAGTCATGGATTTTGGTGACTTAGGCTGAAATTTATAAAGCGTACTTAGACTTTGCTCAGACTTTGCTTACGCTAAACTTACCTAAGTTCCTGCTCAGTGTAATCTTAGCATTCGAATTTATAGTCCTCTTGGGCTAAGAATTTACTGAGTGTATGCTAAGCAAGAGCTCAGGAAAATTTTTTAAACGTTTCGATTTGCATAGCATATTAATTTAAATTCTTGGTATTTCAAAAATATATTATTTTTAAAATAGCTGTAATAACCTAAAATATTAGTAATCTTATAAATTTTATCATATTATTGTATTTCAATCAATTAACACCTTTAGTTTTCATTGATTTTAAGTGATAAAAGGCAAAAATAACACATGTACAAGTAAAACAAAACGTACGTATATTTGACTTGTCAAATGTCATAACAATATTTGAGGTTGTCTCGTCTCGAGTTCATTCGCAAATATATCAATTTCTTGTATTAACTTTTTATCTTGACCCTGGCACACCCTTACGGACTTCTGTTACAACGCTTTCGAACTAGATTACGGCTTTTCTTCCTGGACAATCGAACCATCTTTTCACATTGACTCTGGCATATTAATCGTAAGTAATCGCTAAGTCATGGATTTTGGTGACTTAGACTATGCTAAGCATTTGCTCAGCTTGAGCTAAGCATTATGACTATAAATTTCAACGCACACTTAACTCGTGAGGTAAGTCTGAGCAAAGTCTAAGTACGCTTTATAAATTTCAGCCTTAGACTATGCTAAGCATTTGCTCAGCTTGAGCTAAGCATTATGACTATAAATTTCAACGCACACTTAACTCGTGAGGTAAGTCTGAGCAAAGTCTAAGTACGCTTTATAAATTTCAGCCTTAGAAGTTTGATCTGTTGAATGCTACAAATTTGACGTAATGCTCTCCCAAACAATGAGCTATAATCAGAACGCGATACAAATAAAACACTGAAGCAAGGAAAAGGTACTGCTTTGTTTACTAATTTATTAAATACAATTGACCAAAATCATCGACAAATAATTCTTATAAAATACTAATGGTTAACATAATAAGGGCGCTCTTACGTAAACTATATCTAAAAGTATTAACAATTCACTTAAATACATAATACTCTATATATAGCTATGCGTGAATTGTTACATTTCACGCACTTAATTAGTTCAAATTAATAAATATTTGTTTAATGTTACTAATTTAGTCAAATTTAGCACAAAATTGCCAGCAACTTACAAATTACTTTTCAAATTGGTACAAATTATGTATCAAATTGGTATAAATTTGGTACCAACTTGGTACAAATTCAGTATCAAATAGAAAAAAAAAATCGTATTAAATTAGATAGATTTCGAAATTTTGAACAGATTTGGCATTAAGATAGCACAAATTCGTTATAGAATTGGAGTAAATTTTATACCAAATTGGCATCAAATTGAAACAAACGGTATAAATTTGAAACGAATTCGATGTAAATATGAACAAATTGAAACAAAAGTTCTGAATCAGACTAGCACAAATATTATACTTCTATATATAATTGCAAAACGTATCTATTTATGAAATGCCTTTAATTACCTTCTCGAAAATATCTGTAGTTTTGACCAATTCACATATACATAATTGATCAAAATTAAAGTATTTTGAAAAATTATGGAATTGATGGGAATACTACACATTGTTTATATTCACAAATGATAGCCCTGTACCTATGCATACCTACATTATATTCAAATTCTTACACACTGACTCTTACCGTCAATTTTTGTTAGCGATTGAATTTGTTGTTGAACTGGACTATAAGTGAAAATAATAATATGTCACTTTACTAATATAAGTGAACTTCCAGTTCTAAAATTAAACGTCAGCTTTATTCCAAAATTGGAATTTTATCAACTTCGTGATCCCTATTCGCGCTTGTCACTGTTGAAGCCCAAGTACAATCCGAAGTGATGTGTCTTAGCTCATATTTATACACAATATCAGCTAGTGTCAATATCAAAATCTATATCTGGCAGTGACGGCGGGATGTTTTTCTCTTTCCACATCTCGAATCTAGTCTCTTGCGAATCTGAAAGAAATAGACAGTTAAAGAGAAACTAGGTTACTGCAATTTTAAGATCAGGTAACGGTACTGTAACTACAGTATCATGAAGTAGCGTAGGTAGCGTACCTCTATGAATGTCATGGGATCCACATCAACAGCCTTTAACAGTCCACTGCCGGACATAGGCCTTTCCTTAGAAAGGAGGTTTTGGCCTACCATACCACGCTGGCCAGCCGGGTTGGTATAGGGTTTGTGTCAAGTTTTCCTTCTCTCTGCAGTGCTGTTGTTCTGCGTAGTTGTTTTCCTTAGTCGGCTCTTACGACACCCAGGGGATGAATAGGGGTGGTGACAATCTGTATTCTTAATCCGTCACCACGCGGACTTATCGTCATCATGGGATTGAAGATACCAAATAAATATTTACCAACGACTGTTCCTCTCGAGGAAGGGAGAGACGGCTTGTAGAATCTGGCGAGGATGACACGTGAGGGAGACAGAGGACGCGGACGTGAGGTGTGCGTGTAGCCTGCCACTACGTGCGGCTTCATGGCTCCTGAAAAAGATAAAAATTATGTTTAATGTCCCTCCGTTTAAACAAGTATTTTATAATTACCACATGAGTATTATAATAACGTTATAAAGATTCCAACAAAATCTACCACACATTTATGGCAAGTTCCGATTTGATATTTAATTGTGTATGAAAGTGTGTGGAATATTTTATTTGTGGAAAAATATGTTGGATACAGATAGTGGCACAGTAGATCGCATTATCGTTCCGTTGTTTTAGTGAAGGATCAGATGTCCAACAATGAAACAGTCGTACACAATAAAACATTGTGAAATATCTAAAAAGCTGCGTTGTCAGATCGCGTAAGGACGACCTCCAGAATCCCCCAGAATCCTCCTGAATTCGCCATACCCCAGTTTGAGACAACGCCGCGTGAGAAAAAGACTTGTCTGCAGTGCATTTTTAAGTTTTACGACAAAAATGTGAGTATTTTTAGCGTTCTTTACATATATTTTTTAAAATTATTGATCGTAACTTTATATTTTATATGATTACCTAGCATTAAACATATAATATATATATATATTATATTTTTTATCTGTATAAACGAAAGGTCTAAGACACTTTGAATTTTTTGTGTTTCTTTTAATGCCTTAATAATTATTTAAAGCCTTTCATAGTCCACCGCTGGACATGGAACGTGTTAAAAATGGACGCTGAATGTCAACGATGACCAGCAGAAGGTATCTCTGCTGTGGACATGTTTATAGAAATTTCCTTAGACAAATTCTAGCTGTCACTCACCAGTCCCTACGAGGCACGCTGAGTTTATTCTATCGCAGGGGCACTGGGCCTCGATTCCTCTGGATCCTAGGTGCACTACGAGAGCCAGCGCCATGCACACACCACAAGCGCACACCAGACCGCCGAACGCCAACACGTATCCACATGACGGGTACCACCACCACTGATGGAATAAAAGTATACAATCTAGATAATGTATCCACGCTTATAGGGATAGCCAGAGACGTGTTAACCGCCCTTGTGTTTGTTTCATTCCACAAGCGCGTAATAGGAGCAACGCTATTGCCATTACTTTGCACTTGAGTTACTCCTGCATTGCGTTAAGTTCTTGCGCCTATTAGTAGACTTGTCTATGCAAGTTCCTAATAAAAACTAAATTTAGAGATGGTAATAATTAAATTCAATGTTTTTATTGCAGTCTAAAGGAATGGTGTTTAGATGACGTTGTGTGTGGAATATCCGAAAATATTATTTTTATTTGCTGTCCGTGTGGTGACGGATTAGGAATACAGTGTAACTATTCATCACGTGGGTGTCGTGCCGACTAAGGGAGCAAAACAAAAGAGAAGGAAAACTTGAAGCAAACCCCATACCTACTCGTCTAACTGGTGTGGTATAGTAGACTAAAAAATCCTTTCTAAGGAGAAATCTACGTCTAGCAGTGGACTATTGAGGTGGGGCTGTTAATGAAATAGAAAACTTCTCCAGGTATGAAGATCACCTTAGGCAGGGTCCGTTGGAGCAGCATGTGGACAATATACATGAACGTACAAGGAAGTGAGGAAAATGACGGTGATGGTTGTAATAAGCAGTACGTACATCATACCTGCGCAGTCGTTTGACGAGGCTGTGGCACTCCGCGGCGCCGGGAGGTGCCGCCGTGCCGGCCACGCACACCGTGCACACGTTGTCACCCAGAGACGAGCTCGTGTTCGCCGGGCAAGGCGCTGGAAGAACAGCACATGCGATTTACATGGTTACAGATCTTTAAAGGGGTGGTGGACTAACTATTGTACGATGAAAACCTATGATCCAACATCATCATCATCATGGTCCTGCGCCTTTCCTAATATTATTACAGGTCTTATGTAAAATAGTTGGCCCGGGGTTCGTCGAGGTACCAGGCATTTCTTTTCTAGGTTCCACCTAGTTGCCCGCCTACAGGTACCCGAGATGGCGTGCGGTTTTAGTCCGTTCGAGTTCGAGAGTTCGTTCTCCCTACCGGCCGTCTGAAGGGGTATGCGAGGGGACTTCCAAACGAAAAAAAATATCATATTTCATTTTCATTGTGGCGCTTATTTGTATTTATTTTTTTATAACTTTGTGTTAGTTTCATGAGAGAATTTCGTTTACCGCAAATGTTTTGGTCCTTGAGCAGATAGAACCCTGGGTGGCAGAGGGTGACGATGTTCATCTGGCCAGATTCTGCCACAGACGAGAATTTGTGGTACTCAAAATGGCCGCTTGAATCTGGATAAGAAAACAAATATGGATTTTTGTATTAAATACCGCTTATTATTAAATCACTTATAAACGAATACAAGTCTTTGAAATTATTGCATATTACTATGTTTTTCTCAATACCGTACCACCGTGAAACGTGATCACTTCTTCGAAGAAAAAATTTATGTTTATTTATTTATTTGGAAACTTAACAGCAATGTTATATATCTCATGGATGAAATTAATGTGTGGTACATTGCAATGGACTCTTAGTCAATAATAAAGTTTCCCTACAAGTAAAATTGTACAAGTAAAAACGTAGGTAGTTATAAATGATTTTGTAACTGCATAATCTTGTTTCAATACAACTGATAGCAAAAAGGTTTTTAAAAATCAAAAAGCAAATGGGATAAAAATTACATTGGTTCATCATCATCATCATTATCATCAGCCTATCGGAGTCCCAACTGGACATAGGCCTCTCCCATTGCACGCCACTTAGATCGATTTTGGGCGTCTCGCATCCAGCTCCTGCCAGCCATCTTAAATATTAAACAGGATATTAGGCTAAAGAAGAAGGACAGGAAAATTATGGTATTGTAGGTTATTTGCTATGTTATAATTCGGTGAATGTGTCTACCTCGTGTTTAATTTAGATTAACGTGAAGTGGGCAATCTCTTGGGTTTGCCATCACAACGTGAGTAGTCCTAAAATTACGCGCAGCAAAATGTGAGCGTTTAAAACATCTAAAAGCGGGTGTGTGTTTCTTTTAAATGATTTTATGTTTCAATAGAAGCGGGGATTATATGGTGGTGGTATTAAATAGTAGGCCAAAACCTCCTTTCTAATGAGAGGCTCATGTCCAGCAGTGGACAAATTAAGGCCGTTGATGTGCATTATACATCCAATGATATTTAAGGAAGATACGTTATATTCATATTGCACGCACAAAATATTTGTTCCGTAACCGTACATATATTTATTAATGCATTTTAGAACGAAACATACACTTACCTGTGGTATGATATTGCTTTATCTTTATTTACCTTTTTGTTGTAATTTGTGCACTTTCAAAATACACAGGAAGGCCTAATTAGGACCTTACCGTTTTGTTCGTTGGTGGCGTATCTGCCTCTTGTTTGTATAAAACATCATTGGTCATATCAAATCAATTGCAAGATTAGAAATGATACTCAGTTCTATTTAAATTAGTACTTGTACTAATCTCTACTTGAAATAGGCATAACGTTATTTTAATGGTATAAGGGGGCAAACAAGCAGACGGGTCACCTGATGGTAAGCAACTACTGCCGCCTATGGACACCTGCAACTCAAAAGTCACAAGTGTGTTGCCGCCCTTGGAGTCCCTCTCGCTCGAGTCAGCGGGAAGGAGGATTTGGGCTCCGGTAACCTCACTCACTCAGTGAAAGGCAACGAAAGAATTGCTTAACACCGGTTTTCTGTAAGGCCGAAGCATGGCTCCCCCACGGCAAATCACACGCTCAAATAACGTTTAAAACAATTTGTGTTGACAAAACACATGACAAATGTAGCATTGTTCTAAAATTTGAATACTTAATCTTAGTGGATTACCTTTCTTCCGAAGTGTATGTGTCGTCATGGGCCTGCCGGTATACTTGCAGGGTTTTAAAGTCTCATTAACACCATCTTTAGAAACCACCACTGAAAATACAGAGAGCTTCATAATAATTCACTATATTCAATATTATAACACATACATTCAGTTCCTTGCTCTGTAATAAGTAGCTTAACAGTATTTGTTTAGTATAGAGGGCAATCGAGCAACGGGTCCCCTGATGTCTACCGTCGGGTCTACCGTCGCCAATGGACACCTGCAACTCAACTCACAATTCCGTTGGCACCCTTTGAGTCTCCCCCCTTCCCTCGAAACAGGGAGAGGGAGGGCTATCCGGCAACTGGAACCAAGGAATTTCTTAACACCGGTTTTAGGTGAGGCCGTGTTGTCATTCCGATCAAACCGACGGATTTGTGACAAAGCATAATCACTCTCCCAAGACTAAGATTTCTTTATTTATTTTTTATTTATCTAACACAATTTAACAATATTTAATACCACACATAACATTATTATTGGTATTGTAAAACCTCGCAAAGACGCGGGTTATTTGCGTCTGTAGCATGCACAAGTTACTTGCAAGTTTGGTTCGTATAATGGGAATGCTGCTCGCGCAGCTTACATGTATGCGTCTTACTCGTTTCAGATTTGATACAGTTTGGTACTGAACGTGCATAAATACCACGCGAGTGGCCCGCGCGCACCGCGAAGCGTGCAGGTTACCTGCGCAAGTAACCCGCGCGAGTCGATGGACCCGCATAGTTTTTACGAAGCAAATAACCTGTGCAAGTGCCTCAATATGCACAAGCTACTTGCATAGCACCCTTATTAATCTTAATATGCTTTAGATCCAAATATCAGACGTTAAAACTAAAGTGTATTTAAATATATAAACGCCAGCAAGAACAGTAAACTAAGAAGATCCCGCAAGATATCACCTACCTCTGGTGTAAGTCACTGCGGGAATGTTACCAATGGCCAGACGTAGCATCGATGAGAACAAGTCCCTCCTGCACTGGACACCGCACTGGAAGCGGCGGGGAGACATCGTGAGAACTCCAGTAGACCTTATCAATGACCTGTTCGTAGCCTGGACATAAATATTAACTGATTATAACTTCACAAATCTCATATCAAAGGCAGTCTGGTCCCAAACTAAGCAGAGCCTGTGCTATGGTAACCAGACTGCTGATAAACATACTTATATGTTTTTAATTTCACCCAGACACAGAACAAATGATCGTGCTCATCACAAAATTATTTGTCTTAGGTGGAAATCGAACCCACGACCTCGGCTTAGCAGTCAGGGGCACTAACCACTAGACCTATAGGCCCGACATTACATAAATACACGAAACAACTCATCGTCAACATCATATTTCATATTTCAGCCAAATTACGGCCACTGCTGGTCATAGGCCGCCTCCAAAGTTCGCCACAACAACCGGTCCTGCCCTCCCCGCATCCAGCGGCTTCCCGCGGCCTTCACCACGTCGTCATGGTACGAATATCAACCATTACAATGAAACGAATACCAATACAATGTGTTAATTAAATTATCCTGCTATTACTGTTAACTGTATATCTGGATAATGGGAACTGAATTTTATGGTATAGTGACTACCACGTTCCGTAAGTACCTCTCCCTAGAATCAAGGAGAGACTTACGCAGCAACGCAACGGTTTTTGGGCACTGGTTACCTCATTCACTCGAAGTTACAAGTAAAATCTAGTATTTATATAAAATCTTTGTTTTCAATGCTAACTCACTCTGTCTTTCTGGCACATTGGTTCGTCAATTCTTATCGTGCAAATGTTGCCGCATCCAACCGCGTTGGTCATCTCACGACCCAACTGTTGAATCGCTTTGAGATCCTGCAAAAACAAGAAATACACTACTAATATTTGCAATATAAAAAGTGACTTAACCAGCATTGATCTTACAGCTACTAATATGAGTACAAGAGAGAGAATAGAGTTCTTCCACTCCATCTCCGACAGAACAAACCACGTATAGAGGTCATTTTCGTTTTGAATTATTATCTTGGAATACCTACATATAGGCGCCACTCACATCATAGTTACAATCTCGCGGAGTTTTGTAAGTGGGTAGGAACACCACATCAATCGTTGGCAATGCAACCACCGTCACTTTGGTGCTCCTGCGCACGATGCCATCCTGAAGAGTATATAAATCCTAGATGAGAGAGGGAGAGAGAAAGATGCTGATGGAGTTGGTGATATGACCCTTAGCGAGGATGTCCATTAAACTGTAAACTTTCCGTTGTTAGCTATTGTTTTCCTAAAAATGTTACGAATTCCCTATTTAGGATCAATTTACTAATACAATTTGACACTATCCAGGCACGTGTATTATCATCATCATCAACGTCGTCATCATGCCTACCATCATAGGAATTCAATATACTGATCATATAATTCTCAAATAAAATAAAATGGCGGGGTTCCGTAGCAGTATTTGATATTACGCTGAACACGATTAGAAAATCTCCCCTTTAAGAGTTATGGGGCCCCTTGTCAGGTGATACAAATGAGTTGAGAAGGAGTTACTGGATATCAGTCTATGTGTGTGTAGGTATGTCTTACTACATCTGTATCTGCTTGCATTCCTTGGTCCAACCTTCTTTATCACGAGTGTGAAACCGTCTATCCTCACATTGTCACAACGGACAAGCAGTCTTCCGTAGTCCAGTTTGATGAGTTTCTCTTTAAGAGTTAAAGGGCCCCTTCCTTGTGAGGTCCGTGTAGTGACGGATTAAGAATACGGAATGTCACTACCCCTATTCATCCCGTGGGTATCGTAAGAGCCGACTAAGGGCGCAAAACAACGCAGGACACCAGCACTGCAGAAAGAAGGAAAACTTGACACAACCCGTTTGGCCAGCTTGGGCCAAAACCTCCTTTCTAAGGAGAGGCCTATGTCCAGCAGTGGACTAGTTAAGGCTGTTGATGATGATGATTGTGAGGTGATACAAATGAGTGGAGGAGTTACTGGATATCAGTCTATGTGTGTGTAGATATGTCTTACCACACTACATCTGTATCTGCCTGCATTCCTTGGTCCAACCTTCTTTATCACGAGTGTAAAGCCATTTATCCTCACATTATCACAACTGAGCAGTTCCTTCGGGTCTGCTCCCCAAATATATTGAGAGTATGTTGAGCGCTGCGGTTGTAAAGGACAGTCCAAGCTAACGGAGTCACCTACCATGACGTATAGTTCATTCTGTAATATTAAATACATCCAAAAGGCCTTAATACCAACAAATAGGAAAACATTATTGGGAGTTCTGAAATATACTAAATGAAATTAACTTTGCCTCTCAGGGCATAAGGAACTTTACTTTGAATTCAAAATCACAAAAAGGATCTGATAAACCAATAATTATCTTCTTAGGAATTGTCGTTTTGCCTTCCCTGTCAATATGGAATCGTAACTGAACCACACAAACGTTACGTATTGCCAATTCGATTTATTATAACTACAGGCATTATTATAATTCAAAAATTCAGTCTAACTAATATATACCACAATTTAGCAGCCTTTACTTAAAATTAACAAGACATTAAGGCAGACAAGCCACTGTGACAGACTAGGTGGATAAAAACAACAATGATAGACGAACAGGAACGATTCTTAAAATAATTTGCCACATACCTTCCCAGGTTTCAGCGGCGGTAAGTGCCTCAACTGTTTTTTTATAGATCTGCCAGTATCCCTCTTCCTTCTCTCCATGATCCTGTATATACCATCACCATCCTTGACGAACATTTCGAACTTATCACAATATTGATTAACATTGTCACTTTTCTTGCATTTGTCAAAACGTAACACTGATCTTTTGTTGCGGATCCAATCCCATTTCGGTATTTTAGTTTTGCGGGTAATGAGAAAACTTCTTTGCAGTCTCTTGTATTTATAACAGGGTATATCCTTTACGTACGCATCAAAGGCTGTCGCTGTAAGCTCTTGTCGGCGCTGTGTGACGTGATCGTAAGTTGCTTGGATGTCACAGATCGTCCGGCTCGACGGGTATAGATGACTTGCCTCTTGAAATAAAGGACGTGCGTTAATTCGGGAAATACAGCTTTTGGTAGAAGCTATTCATGACTTCATCAGTTTAATACATTTGACAGATTATACCATCGGTAGATTTGGAACTAATATTTAGAGAATACTGTCTAGGGTGTTGAGGTTCGACCGATGGTGGCCCTAAAAACTTGAACTTGAATAACGGTAATTAGTATAATATATTTCCATAAGCTATTTTGAGACACAGCTGCCATTAAATCATTGACAGATAAAAGAGCCATATTAAATAAAGAAAATTATGCGATTTTGTACCTGGAGTTTTGAAAGCCTTCTTCTGCTTCTGTCTCACTGTAATGTTCATTGGTTTGATACTTGTCACCTCGTGCTCTTGTTCACTGGATGCAGCTGTCGGCTTCTCAGTTCGCGGGACGTTTATCATCGTTATCATTAACGCCTTTGACTCGGAGCAGTGAGACGTGGAAGTGTGGGCTACCTTTGAACAATGTGCGTTACTAGATATCTATTTTAATGCCGTGTAGAGTTTCCACGAGCGTCTATTTGTAAATATTAGGTAAAAAGCAAGATATTGTTACGTGTTAGGGTTCGTTGCTTTGGAATAATAAGCCTTCGATGACTGAAGAGACGTTCAAACAATATTCCATAATAGTCCAGAATGATGAAGACGTGCCTGTATTTATGATACTCGCCAGACGACTGGAAAGCTCTTCCAGCTTATTTTATTTTTTTGGGTATGCCGATTTCTGATAAACACGAGTGGGTGTCAAATGTGAACAAGACAATCGCGCAACAATCTATTTCCGGTCTTATGCTTATTGTTTAAAACTCATTGTGCCGTGCCACCCTGCATTATTATTAGAACTGTTCCTAGTATTGCGCGGTTAAATGAATTCTCTCTTTTTCTCGAATTTTCGTGATAATTCTTGACAATATGTTTAACAGGAACAGTTCCTACTCCTTTGCTGGCATGCTTGCATAGTTGTAATCTGCTCCATGAGATAATAAATCATGTATAAATTAAAACAATAAAATAAGTGCCTAGACTGACTAGAGTTGTTGTCAGATCTCCTTCGCCCCAAGCGTTCATAGAAAGTGAACATAACATCTCGAATTATATAGTAATCATGTAGTAGGCAATATTTTTTTATGTAATATATACCTAAGTAAAAATCGCGGCAAATCTACGAACTTCGTCATTTCGGCGTAGAGGATGTTGCCAAAAAAGTTGATTTGGATTTCGTTGATTGGTAGACATAAGACATTACCTTCTTTTTAGCAGACACAACCTTCATGCCGATCTTGCTCACAAGCTTGTTTAGTAAACCTTTCTTTTTAGGTAGCTCCGGGGTCTCCGCAACCTGCAAATGCCTTTACATCTAGCGTCAGTTAATCATTGATGAAATTATATTGTTTACCTGTTCTTCTTACTTACACTATCCTCTATTATAGATCGGAATGTTGATGGGCTGAAAGTCAAAACAATTTCATTTGTTAACATTACAATTGGAGTCCCCTTTCTTACGACAATAGAGGTGTTGGAAATATGTTATTACTTACCCAGAAGAACCATCATTCAGTGTGGCACTACGCTTGTTCCCGTAGCTGTTCTCGTTAGCATAGGCTATCTTCTGCCATTCATCATTTAGTCGGTTTGTCTCATATTGTATTATAGAGAGCAGTAAATTTTTGTATTTGTTTGAACTTCCTTCGTTCTGATTCAGAGAACTATCAGCAACCTGATCATATTCATTAATAATTATTATTTTAGGATGTCCATATGTTGACTGGCTGTTGAAATCTGCGAATTCTATACTTGACATAGTTGAGTCCATTGGTACTGTTGATATTTGGTCTATATTGAAATCGGAATGTCCAAGAACTGGATCCGTATTTTTAAGCAAATAGAAATTACTTGTTAAATCTAAAAAATCAGTCTTCGATGATATTCTTTTCAGCAATTCTGATTTAGCGGCATCTGTTGCTTGCGTATTTTTTACAATAGCGACAATTGTATTGGGAGTTTCAGCTATTGTCTCCTTCGATACAGTTGTAAATCTCTGGTTAATTTCGTTGGGTTCTTTTATCGGGTTATTTTTTAACGAATCTGTATCTATGTAAGTGGACGTTTGCTTTAAGCCTGCGGTACTTAAATAGTTCTTATTTAGGATTCGAGCTGGGGCGTTTAAGCGTTTTTTCTCTACTTTCATAAACTGTTTGGATTTATATATTTTTTTAACTGGAGTAGGAACAGATTTTGGATCGATTAAATTGACTTTAAATTTTGTTGCATATGATTGTTTTACGATATCTTTAATAGAATACAACATGTTAGTAATTTTAGTCACCGTATCGTTTTGAGAATCAGTGAAAATATCTGGAGATGAGGTTGGTAAAGGATTATTTTCTAATAGGTTATCTTCAGGTATATTTGGTTTGTCATCTTGCGACACATCATCTTGAAATATGGGGTCTGAAGGCACGATATCTGAAGACACATCGTTGAATACAGCCCGACTTGAAGAATCTACAGACTCATCTGTAGAATTAAAATCTAAAGGTAAGGTATCTGAAAATATATTATCTGTTGTTTTTTTTTGTGTTAGTTCACCTGTAGTTTTTTTTTGTGTTAAATCATCTGTAGGTAGTTTTTCTGTAATTAGAGGTTCAGTAAAAGTCGTATCCGTAACATTGACGTCTGAAGACATCGAATCTGTTAATGTTATGTTGTTAGCTCCAGTTGTCGTTTCCGTATCTATGTTACCTTTAGGTGGTGTAGTTTTTGTAGTTGAAGATACGTTGGTATTGAGTCCAGCATCTGAAGACAGATTAGATGGTTTGATTTCCCAAGTGACGTCAGCTTTTGATGGAGCATCTGAAGATTTATTAGGGATAGGGGTAGTAGTAGTACTTGAAGTTAAAGTTGTTTTATCTTTCGGTATGATATCCATATATTTATTGACAGATTTATTTTTAGTAGTTTTGGGTTTGATAGGGGTGGTTTTGCCTGGAAGTGTAGTATGCAAAGGCCTCGTACTATGAGCATCAACTATTTTTTTTGTTTTGTCAATTGAAGTAACTGCTGTTTTACTGGTTTTTTTACTTGAAACAACATATACTTTTGGAGTGCTTGGTCTCACAGATTTTATCTTAGCAGTTTGTTTTGATTCCAATTTTTCTGAAAATACAGAAAAGTTTTGATTGTTGTTTTTTTTAGTCTCCAAGAAGTTCTCGAAGATGTTTAGTAATTCATTTAGATTCTCTGGCATATTATCCATAGTTGCTTCTTCGTTTTTTCCTCTGCTTATAGCCATTATTGGACTCGCACTAACGGAATCATGCCTCACGCTCATGGTTTTAACGTTTGCTGAGTTTTCATTATTATTTGAAAAAATATCGTTTGTCTGTACAACAGCGACATCGAGTTTCGGTTCATTTTGTGTCTTTGGATCTTTAGTAATTTCTGGTTGATTTGTGGTTGAAGCTCTTAGATACTCTAACCAAAAAGTACCGCCACTATCTGCGACTAAAGGCATTTCAATTTGATTTTTGGCTTCACGTTTAAACGGTATTCTAGGAGTTTTTGCATCTTCTACTGTATAATACGTAAAAAGTTTATCCTTTTTATTATTTCTCTTAAGAAATAGACGTTTAAATCCTTTTCTTTTACTGTTATTTTTAAGGTTATCAACTTCAAAGTCAAAAAAGTTATCCGGTATAAGAGTGTGCTCCTGTAATTTTTGACTGGCCGCAGTTGCTACAGTATGCATAGTTGAGGTCTCATAGGAATCTGTAGTAGAAGATATTTCAGGGTTACAAATAATATTAACATTTATATTATCAAGCGAATAAACGTTCTTTACAAACTTCTTTTTTGTACCTTCGGCATCTGATCTTTTACCGAAAGCTTTCTGTGAGATACAGGAATTTATATTTTCTATCATTTTTTTACCTTCTATTTGTAATTTATCATTATAGCAGGTATTCATAGCAGTTATTTTATTTACATCGTTGGTTACGTCTATTAAATCTTTCAATAAATTTTCAATGACACTTCCACGGGGTACTTTGGTATTTTTCATAAATTGTCTTTTCTCGATTTGTTTGCCAAGTGCCTCGCAAGTCCTTCCTTGGCACTTACCTTTACTCCGCTTAAAATAATCACGTAAACTTTCATCAATCCTTTCAACAGCATTTCGTAATTTCAAACCCCCACTAGGATTCACCCAAAAATAAGTTTGAATTTCTGTACAGTGATCTTTCATAAATTTACCAAGGTTATCAAATTCGAAAGTAAGTTCCTCTATGACTGCGTCACTTGCTGCACAAGCTCTGCACATTGGCTGATTTGCTTTGCATTTACAATTACAAACTCTTTCGTAACCAAAAAACTTTTTAACCGCATCCCAATCTATAACCCTCCGAACTCTGAAGCTTTTATCAACGCCCTGAATTCTTTCAGTAACTACCTGAGACATCATTTTAGTGATTTGAGTGGTATGGCGCCGTTTTCTTAACTGTGATTCGTTTGTTTTGGTAAGATTCTCGTACATCTCGACTAACTGTCTATTAACGGCTGAAATAAAATTCTTGCTTAACGTTACTTTGGCAAGATTTTTTATACTGTCCTGTCGTAATGTTGTCTCACCTTTTAATTCCATTGCAGGTAGGTTCCCAGCCTGTCGAGACTTTAGTTCTGCAAAATCTATATTTGTTTTCACCGGCTTCAAAGCATATCCATTTTTAGGTTTGTCAATCAACAAATACATTCCTGGGGAAAGTCCGTCATCACTAGGAGCAGTAGGTGTAGGTGTTTCGAAAGAACCTCCTTCGAAAGAATGAACTTGGTACTCTAAGTCTACCGGCGAGGACATTTTCGCTGAGAAAACTTTTCTTACTCTCACCGGTTCTAAGGGAGATCTCTTTTTCGTATTCTGCATATCATACGGTATTGCAATGTGAACTTGAATAGAATTTGTGGAGTCATGTGGTAGATGGATCGACTTCATTGGATGGTTTACGCTGGTGGCAATTAAACTGCCTATGTCCTTCTCTTCGTAGCCTAGTGTGTTCTTCATCAAGTCTACTATGACTTCTAAGGCTGCGACATCTTTTGCGGTGTAAGTATCTTGAGTATGGAGATCTCGTTTCACAAAGTGTTGTGTTTTCTGAGAAAGCGTTCTCGTCGTGACTGTCTGAATGGTTACAGTGTGATGTTTCTGCATGGCAGTGCTTTTTGGGATGGAAATCGGTTTTTTATTTTTATTGAGCGCTTTAATATACACTGAGTAGGGATTTTTACACGTGGTGGGGTTTAAGTTTTTTGGGTCTTTGGAATGTTTTAACGTGAAATAAGTTTTTTTAATTTTTTTGGACAAGTTATTGTTGAAATGTGTACTGAGGAACTGTTTTGCGTTTTTCTTTTGACTTCGGCCTTTTTCTTGGTCAGCATATAATTTTTGATGACCGAATGGAGCGACTGGCTGCAAAAAAAAGATAGGGTGAAAAGAATAATATTTTATAAAACATTATTTTATTGAAAATCCTGCTTGCATACTAATAAAGTGGCAAATAAACGTACAACCCGCATGATGATAAGCGATCAGCGTAGACTTTGGACGTTCGCAACACCAGGTGTTTCGCTTGACAGTTTGGAACCCTGCAAAAATATTTTTATTTTCGCACAGTTTACAATAATATAACTATACTATTATTTGGTATATGAAACTATTGCAATGTACTGCATTTAGCGAATGATCCCCCGAAACGTGGGGTCTCAATATTGGCTTTAGCATCGCTTACCATCAGACAGATTGCATATACGGATATCCCAAAAATCAACTTCAAGAGGAATTCGGGACTTCAGATGACGGTGACGGTTCCCAGAAAAAAATCTGTCACATTTTTAAAAATTGTTCAAAAATGTGTTACTGTAACGTAAGTAATTTTTTTACGAAATGATAATTTTTTGTTTGAAAAAGATTTAGAAAGTGTTGTACCTACTGCTTTGAATTTGGACTAAAAGAGCCATCGTTTGATGTTGCTCTACAAAATGCCTTTTTTATATGAGGGTAAAAAGTCAGACGGGTCAACTGATGGAAAGTGACTATCATCGCCAATGGACGCCTGCAACTCAGAAGTCTGAAGCGCATTACCGAACTTTGTTGTAGGAGTAACTTTTTTCTTTAAGGATTGCAGGTCCTATCGGTCCGGAAATACCGCAGGAGACAATTTGTTCCACAGATTGGTTGTGTGAGTCAAAATGTTTCTTAAAATGCGCATGGCAGTGGCGCACAGTTGGCACCCGGGTCGGACCAAATATTTGTATGATCTGCAAATATTTGTTTTAGAGTTTGGGTGTTTTATATAATATGTAAGTATTTAGAAAAAAGTATATGAGTATTGGATAATGGGGAGGGATGTTTCGGGCACGCCGTTATTGCGGCGGTAAGACCCGTTATGGAGGACTTGCCCGTGAGGAATCACGGGACCCTCTCATACCGGGTGACGCAGATGATCACCGTGAAAGGATGGTTCCTAAAAAATACATTTTTTCAATATTTTCGATTGAATGGAAAGTAGTAATCCTATGCCAAGTCCTATTCGACTGGCACGTGAGGTACCTACACGTAAAAATGTATTTTCGCTTAAGCCTACTATTAAGTTGCCGTTATACTGTGAGTGTATGTTCTTACGTCCACGAATAAATTGTTTTTCTTTCTTTAATGTTTGCGTACTTAGAAGTTATTTAGTAAATACCACAAGTTCTTAATTAGTTCTTTTTAATTTTATTATTATTTGCTTTACTGTCATTTATACAGAGTACTGATAATGCCAGAAAAGCAAAAAAAAAAAAAGAAAAGAATAGTGGTCACACGATTTTTAAATTTAATTTAAAAGCCTATAATTTCAAAAATAACGACAAATGCTTTTGTTTTGGGAACTGTCACCACCTGCCTTATCAGCCCATAACAGCTCGAGGTTTATTTTAAGGATACCCTGTAGAAAGTGAAAAAGAAATATCAGGACAGAATTTATTACCTGATTATAATCATAGTTTAAAATACCCGGCTCCATGTAGATCCCATACGCTTCACTCGAGTTATACCTGAAGTCATTTTGGAAGGGTGGAAAACCCAATGAGGCAGCCTGTATTTGAGGCCAATTGCCTTGGAATGGTGGCCCTTGAGGCCACCGAGGTCCCATTGAGTTTTGTGACAAACGAGCTTGCATTATTTCCATCGGTGTAGGGACTGGTGTCACTTGTAATGTCACCCCTCCTCCTTGCTTTGGATGATTAACTTGAATTATTGGCTTCACGCCAAACCCCAAATGGCCTTCTAAAGGATTTCTGAATAAGACACTTAATGTGTTCCCAGCAACGGGTAACCATGGCTTTTCTGTAGTCTTATCCCTTTTTTCACTAGCTTCGTATAATAGCATTTTGGTTGGTGGCGTATTAAAACCTTGGAGATAAGATTTATTATATAAGATACTGGCGGTATCGAATATATAGTTTTTCTTTTTAGTTACGTTTGAGTTGGTGGGCGTTGGGTCCATCGTTGCAGGATTATCAACGTTGATATGGTCTGGTAATGAGAATGGTTCACCGTAGTCAATATTTTTCTCTTTGTCATGATCTGGTGTAATATCATACGACATGATGTCCGTCAGTAAATGGGAGTAAGCCTTGGTGGTTTTAGTTGTGTCTGTTACAAGAGATTTGGGCTGTCCAAATATAGCCTTCTCAAACACGTCCTCGTCGAAAGTCTTTTTTCCATACATTGATTTGTCAAATATGGACTGTTCAAACTTGCGGCTCGCTGCCTGATCGGCCGCTGCCTTTGAAGCGTGGTCTGGGTCTTGTATCATATATTGATAATCCATTTCGGCTTGTGTATATTTAGGTGCAGCATGCGTGGTGTCTGCACCTGAGGAAAATTTGAACGTAATGTCTCTGTCTTCGTCGTCTTTTTCGTTGTCACCTTGCCCCCCAGGTAATCCAGGTAAAATGTCGAAGTCGTCATCGGCCTTAGAAGCATTATTTTTAGTTACGTATCCAAATTTGCCAGGTATTCCATACTTCATTTGATACATATCTTTTTCTGAGGGATCGTCTGTAGATATTGCTTTAATCTGAAAAGTTAGACAGCATTTTATAAGCATAAATACAGTGTCTTATATAACATCATGTTCAGATGTGTTTCGCGCGATACATGCTCCTGCGAATTTTTGTACAGTATTCACATGGGGAGCGGTTCTGGGCGATGAATCAAGCTTTGCATTTGTTGAAAGTTCAATAGAAACCAGATAATTAAACCAGATTTTTATTTCTGTCTTGCATCTGAATCCAGCAACATCTTTTAATAAGACATCCGGAATCCGGAACCCTGTGGGTCGATAGCGGGTCGGTATTAGGTATGTTTCAAGTTTTCCTTCTCTTTGCAGTGCTGTTGTCCTGCGTAGTTTGATCCCTTAGTCGGCTCTTACGACACCCACGGGATGAATAGGGGGGTGGTGACACTCCATATTCTTTATCCGTCACCACACGGATAACAAAGACGAAGGACGTAAATTAACAATGAGAGTAGCTTACCTTCTGAACAGCGTCACTTATCTTCTTGTGGCCAAATTGAATGCGAAACCCTTCCAAGGAATCCGTTAGTTTATCTCCCTCTAATTTTTTAGTCTCATTTTCGTTTTTTGGCTTATCTGTAAGAAGGATAAAGTTATAAAATAGTAACAGGTATATATTTGCGAGACTGAGCATTCCTGCTAGCTTATGTAATAATAATAATAATATTGTACCACATTCACACAACACCATCTAGTCCCAAACTAAGCAGAGCTTGTACTATGGGTACTAGACAACTGATATAAATACATATATACTTTTTTTTGTAAATACATACACATTATACATAGAAACACCCAGACCAAATCAAAGATTAAATGTTCATGCACACAAATGTTTGACTTGAGCGGGAATCGAACCCGCGACCTTTGGAATAGCACTCCGTTACACAAAACCACTACATCATCCGGTACTATATTGTATGGACTACCCGTGATATACTTACATAGCGATTTGTATACTTTGTGAAGTTGGACATTATAAGCTCACCTAGTCCCGTAAGTCTTTTTTCGTTAACTTTTATTTGAGAAAGAGCCACAACACACAGATAATGTAAACTGTCACTTACATAAATCATCAAGTGAAGGCATCACTTCACTTGTCGTCATTTCCATCTTCGGCGTAACGTTTTCTTTGGTGTTTGCTGAAATATATTCAAAAAATAAATGGAGGCGTGAGAATCTGTTTAATTTTCCCTTAACAGACGCTGGAGCTCCTAACATGAATATTTCCTTGCGTAGTTGGGATGGTTACGGACTGCATGACGATTACATATACAAAGATACATTACATACAAGCTAAATGGCAGTAACAAACTAAACGATGATTACCGTTATAAGCTGTCACAAACTAATTTGGGGTAACAAACTTAATGACTTAATTAACTGATGAATGATGAATTAATGATGAACAATTGCTAAAAATCTTAAAATAAGAATGAAAACTGACAGTCAGACGAATACACATACTTAGACATGTACACACAAACACACACACAGGCTCACAAACTATCACACACACTCACACACACTCACATAGCTCCAACTTAAACTTAGTCAATTAAATAAATATAGATTGTAGTAAACTGCGATCTCTTCCTATTGTTTCATATGAGATTTACATAAGATTCTAATATTATTGATATTGTCCTAATGTATAATCGTTTTTGTATTGATAGCCTCGATACAGGCTAAGCCTAGTGTGGCTATCATTGTTAAACAAATTTTGTAAATCTTTACTTTAAATAAAAATTATTATTATTATTATTATTATTAATTAACAGTAGCAAACTAGACGATGGTGTAGACAGAGATGCGAATAGGAATGCAAATAGGTGCCAACCACCGAAAAAAGTTTTTTCATTGAAAAGATTAGAATTATGGAATGGATGGAAAGCGACTATCACCGCCCACGAACGCCCGAACAAAATTACAGATACAATACAAGACAAAATTACAATTACGGGCAATATTGAGGTTGGGCAGAATCGTTAAGAACGGCTATGGTTTCCATGGCAGTTACGAGTAGGTACGGCATCGCGTCAGATATAGTTTATAATTGAACTGAGACTAGATTATGTAATGTCACAAGGTGCCTCCGCAACGAAGTCTGCTCCCTCAAAACGATTTTTTTTGCCCCTTTTCGTTATTTTTTTTAAAATACTTGGCTGATATTTATCGTAGCGTGATGTTATATAGCTTATAGCTTTACCCGATAAATTTGGTTACCCAAGACAAAGATTTTTCAATTCGAACCAGTAGCCTTCAGCTTTATAATATTAGTAGAAGTTATCTGCATTTACCTTTAGCTGCCTTAGTCTTCTGATGAGTGGTCTTCGGTGACGCAGTCATCCTCTTTAAACTTAACTTGTCTTGAATAACTGCAAGAAGCCAACAGCGATGAGAAAGAATAGACAATACAGTATCTAAAATCACAACGGATAATCCATACAGTCGCGCTGCACCCAATAAACTATTAAATATTCTATTGTCAAAACCTTAGATGAGTATATTTTATACTTTACCTCGCAGACGGTTTTTCTATAGATGTAGTGTCACACGATAAACACATGCGAAACGTAATTGTTCTTTACTAGTGTGTGTATAGTGACCAAAAGTTGGCTGCTATGTTTTTCTACGTGTTTACAGATTCGTCAGTATCTTTGGATATGCCAATGATCTAAGATGAAGACGTGGATAGGTTCTAGAAGGTTCCCTAACCTTCTGCAAAAGTCATGATACGTATAACGCTCAAGATTCTTCCTCGTTTTCACTTTAAGGCGAGGTTGCAGTGATTTTGCACTTTTTTTAAGAGAAATAAATATCCTAATATGCATTTATTGTGCATGAAAATATATATTTTATAAAAATTAAACATATAATCTAAAGATCCGTAAAGATGGAAAAATGATTTATGGAATTTGGCGCGATAAAAAAAAATCACAAACATAGCACTAACTCACGATTTCAAATAGAAATTGTTGTAAAATGCCACCATGGATTCACGTAAAAAAGTTATTTATTAGTAGTAATTTTCACTACATTACTTACATTTATGAAATTATTTTAATGTTTTTAACGCGTCTTTGTAACACTAGATTATAAATTTACTAAGAAATCATTATTTATATAAATAATTAAACAATCTCTACCTAAATATTTATTTGTTTCATGGTAAATTATTTCCGTCGACAATGTTTATAAAACACAAAAATAACAAAATTTTACAAACGCATCAGTTTCACTGCACCACAGTCTAAACAAATCAGTATGCATGTGAGTACGGTAAATAAACAGTATTCATTGGTAGCATAGAAAGAAGGTAATAAGAAAATGTTATTAGAAATCTCTAATTTTGGTATAGTCAGGCACATTTAAATTATGTGGAATTCAACAGTAATATAAGTTTATTTAATGTTATTTTGATGAGACAAAGCATATCCACAGGCGTAGTTGAGACCCTACAGAAATCAATTTCTATTGATCATAATACTACGTTAGTTTTTATATTTATATAAATGGAATAACAGTTTTTTTAGTTTTGTCGTGTGAAAACTAAACAATGAGGATGATGCACATGTCCATGAGCTTACGCTTATGACATAAGGGAAGGTTACCTTTCATGGATCCTTCATCGACCAATAACGTCTGTCAAGAAATCGTAACGATTTCTTCAGAAAATAATGATGATGTGAAAGAGGAAAAGTCTTTGGGCATAAACTTAGCGGCTACAACTGGAATCGTGGCAACAGGCATCGGGCAGTTTGAAGAATAATTTTCTGCAATAGACCCGTCTTTTCGACACATACATACGCACAGTTGCAAAACAATGTATATGAACATGTGGAACTGACAGCAGCTGATACTATGCAAGCAGTAATAGATAACGAGAGAGAAATAGCCATATCCTAAAGTCGAACTAAAGGTGGATATCCGGTGATCGATGTGTATGCCGATTGAGCATGGAGTGCGCGCTCTTATGGCACCAATTTTAAGGCCCTTTCTGGCGCTGCTGCTATTATTGGCAGAAAAACAGGTGCGGCCTTGTACATGGGTGTAAAAAATAAATACTGTTTAGTTTGTATCCGGGCTAGTAAAAATAACATAACGCCTCCAGAACATAAATGCTTCAAAAACTTTGATGGTCATCTACCTCTATGGAAGCAGATATAATTGCGGAGGGTTTTAAAACATCTATTGTACGGAGTAATATACCAAAGACATAGCAGATGGTGACTCTTCCACATATGCCAAAATTTTAAAGGTGAAACCCTACAAAACACAGAATTTGACTGTTGAAAAAATAGAATTTCCTAATCATAATTTACGAAATTTTTGTAAAAAGAAGCGGAACCTTGCCAAAGAGACTAAATTTTTCTAGTTTCATAGAAAAACTTTACCAAACCAAACACAAATAAATAATAACAAAAAACAAATAAATAATGGCTATGAGAAAATTAATTATTCGGTCGAAAAAAAATCTCCACCAGTCTGATGTTTCGAAAAACGATGCAGTCTCGGTACTTCATTAAGATATAACATATTCAGTTGAACACGCTTACGAAGATCATAGAAAGTGCCATGATAACAACGGTGAGCATGATGGAGTGAAAGGTGACTTAGGCAAATACGGAATAGTACATTTTTATTTATACTGAATGCCATTGTTGCAACTGTAGCTGGGAAGTCAAGAAGTTTGATTGAAAATGTTGATACCAACACAGTCGAAAGATTTAATAATGTTATAGCTAAATTTGTGGGTCGGAAAAGAATATTTGGTCTCAGACGCGGGTACCAATTAAGATATGTAGCAGCAGTCGTATCTTTTATCAGGAATTCCGCCATTTCAGCTGAGCAAAAAAAAAAGTTAAATGGAAGTCCTTCAAGCAGAGTTTTGAAGTACATCGAAAAAAAGGGTCCATAAACGTAAATTGGATTTGAAACATCCAGTAAAAAAGATACGTAGATTTCAAAACGCAAATAACGACCTATAGCACGTCGGCACCAGATATGTCAATGTTTGATTTGGAGCGAGGGAAAGCTAGTTATTTAAACAATTTAATAAATCTTACAGCAGACAGAGATCATATTGAAAGATCGACCGTCCTACAAAGAGACTCGAGTGAGTGGCTTGAAATAAGAAAAAAAAAATAACAGCTTCGAATTTAGAAAATATTTGGAAGAGAAAACCCTCTACGGATACATCTTCTTTGGTAAAAAATATTTTGTACAAAAAGAATTTGTCGCAAGTGACCTCGGTAGCTCATGGGATTGAAAATGAAAAGCAAGCCATACAACAAATTCAGCAAGAAAACCAATTGAAAAGTTAAGCATGTGGACTTTTTATTGAAAAGCAATACCCATTTATTGGAGCTACACCTGATGGCTTGATTGGGAACGATATGTTGGTTGAAGTGAAATGTTCATTAGTTGCTGCCAAAGAAGGATTGCAGCAAGCCCTAGGAAATTATAAAATTCAGCTGATCCGCTACAAAAAAAAAAATCGATAATTGGTTTCATCAAATTCAAGGTCAGTTACATGTCACAGGCCGTTAAAAATGTCTTTTTGGTTTGTGGGTATCATAAAATGAACCAGTATTTATACGATATTTTGAAAAAGACGACGAATTCTGAAAAGAAAAACTGGAACCAAGGTTGGTTCAATTTATTTGACTTGCTTACTGCCGGAATTGGTTGACCCAAGGCACACGCGCGGCATGCCAATCCGAAACATATTTTTAACCTCAGGAAAAGAAAATGAAGCATCATCAGGCTCTTTAACATACGCTTCAATTCCGAGTGTATCTGACACTAATATTATACAATACACTAATTTTTGAAATTATCTTTGAAATAAAATATTAATTATTATATATATATAAAATGGATAGAACCAATTTAAGTATGTTGGTAAATAAGGTCTCTTCAGACAGCACTGTAACCAAACGCGTTATTGTAAGCTAACTATGCTGCGCGAATAGGAAAGCCCGCTTGCCTATTGCGCTTTGACATGATTGATATAAAACTTAAGAAAGTTTAGAATAAAACCTCCGCCGCAATCATCATCTTTTATTAAAGTTATGTGAATTATTCAACTTATGGTGTGTGTATTATTAATTAAAGCCTGTATTATGGTACCTAATCTGCTGATAAACTCATGAAGTAAGAGAAATTTGTAGAATAAGGTTTAAAAAAAACATCCATTGTTAATGAGATTTTGAGTAAATAAATTATATATGTAGGAAGTAATGACCTAATATCCTATAACTAATAACTAATAAACCTTAGTTCGCCTGTTTAAACGGTCATTTAATTCCAATATTTTTTTAATTTCGTGTATACCTATTTTAGTAGAAAGCTAACACACAGATGAATAACAAAAGTTTCAATTAGAATTATATACCTCAAACATGATATTCTTTTCTAACTTCTGCTACTACTACTACTGAGTACTCTACACTGTGGCACAATATCTGGACGTAAGTTTGAGTGGTGCGCAGCCGACTCGCGCAGCTTTTTAACACGCTGCGTCTTTGCGTAAGATACGTTAGGGGGGGTTGAGGTAATGTTTGCACACCTACACACCGCGCTGCAAGAGCGCCTTAATGATCATCATCTGCCTACCCTTATGCCAATTTTAATTACGGATTGGCGCAGTAATTATTATTCTTCCATTCTTAAATATCATTCGTCATCTCTCTCTTTACTGCCTTCCTAGCCATATCCTCTATCACACAGTCCATCCACCTTTTCTTTGATCTTCCTCTTTTCTTGTACCCTTCATACCTAATACCATACCTAACTCTTTCTTGGCCGCATTTTTGATATCCCTCCGCATGACATGTCCATGTGATACCGCGTTCTCACAGAAAACCACATTCGTTGCCTTTCACCAAGTGAAAGAAGAACAAACCATCCCCCCTCCTAATTCTGGCTGGGGGAACTTGAAAGGCGACTCTTGAGTTGCACGTGTTCATGGGTGACGCTAGCCACTTACCATCAGGTCACCCGTCTACTCGCTGACTTCCTCTACCACAAACAGAATATGGCTACAGATTAAAGGAAAAATATATAATTAATAATTACATTGCATTTTAGGGCTCCAGCCGAAGAATCGTTTTTCTAAATTCTTTATATCAGCATATTCCTTCTCCATATTCTTGTCCCACTCTTTATCACTGCCTTGATAAGGGTACTCAGTGACGTCGACTGTCGAAAGAAATTAACATTATAAGTAGTCACATCAACAGCCTTTAGTAGTCCACTGCTGGAGATAGGCCTCCCCTTAGAAGAAGGGTTTGGCCTACTATACCACGCTGGCCAGACGGGTAGTAGTAAAACAACAATAATTTAAGATAGCTCACACTCGGCCGTCTGATCCCAAACTAGCCAAGGCCTGTACTATGGTAACCAGACTGCTGATAAACATACTTACATATTCCTTAATACATTTAACGTTATGTAGAAAAATTCAAATTATCATGAATCACATAACTATTTGTCATGGGTGGGTATCAAACCTATTCAGTGAAACTTGTTGACGAAATACTTTAATGATTTTTAAACACACACACACACACACACACACATGTGACCCTCGTCTTGAAGGCGTTCATGGGCGTCGGCAGTCACTTTCAGGTGACCCGTCTGCTCGTTTGAGCCCTACATGATACAAGAAAACAGATTTAATTATCTCTGGGTGACCAGTTAAGATTAAATGTTTGCCAATTATAATGAAAAAAAAAAACAAATATTCTTCAACATTCTATATTCTATTGCTGGCAGGATGCGAGAAGCCCAAAATCGATCTAAGTGGCGTACAATGAGAGAGGCCTATGTCCAGCAGTGGACTGCGATCGGCTGATGATGATGATTCTGTACTTGCAATGCAATGCAAACTTGGCCAGAAAATTACGCAAAAGTCTAATCTAATCTCTAAATGCCTGATTTGGACATGTTTAAAGCATCCACTTACGGTTTCTCCCGTATCTGAACCTCGAATCGATGGTCACCCATCTTCTGTTCGCATACTTATCACCATGCCTCGATTTCCTCTGCGCGCTGTCATCTCTTGAAGCTGTAAAAATAATTTACCATCAATACTTTAATAAATATTTAGTACTTGTAATAAATATCTACTGAAAATAGTCTCATTATTTCAGCAATTATTGCTGGCGTACGTAGTTTTCTGGTGTTCCCACTGTGTCATGACCGTTACGATACATAATCGTTCTCCGTAAAGCGTCGTGTAATAATTATCTGTCGTCGAAGACCTTTTAGTACAAAATGGCAGACTGTCAAAACAATAAAACGTCAAAACCCTTCGTGATCTAGACGACAAATCACATCTAACCTCTTAAAAAACGACTGACTGCTTTATAAACGGCAGAATAGTTGCTGCATAATAGTCCGTAGATTCCGTGAACCAATCAACGATAAAATTTCGACTATAATACATTAGCTGGACACAAAATAAAGCATTACGATACAGTGGGAATGTGTCCTACCTTAATCGAGGAACGCCACGTTACTGAACACAAAAGTTAACAGATACTGCACAATGCATCACTGTCTCTAATTAATTTCGATGATGTTCTGTATGTTTTGTATATTATTATAGATATTGCTTTGTGCAATCTTAGATGTAACTCTAGTCTAGTCCCTTACCATGCCGTGGCAACTTGGAAGTAAGACAACACTTAGCAAATATTTGTAAAACATGTTTGTAAACTATGTATTAGTGTATGTTTTGTAAGTTGTCCTAAATAAATAAATAAATACTCAAAACAATGAAATCATCTAAAAAACACTCGACCTGCTATCTACAAGGTATTGTGGTTGAAAAGGAAGATGTGGGTCAATCTGTGTATCCATCACTATCATTTAAGAGTACTTATATAAAAAATTGTTTTGAATTAAATGGTCGCATAATGAACAATAGCTCCTCTCGTCGCATATCCTATAGTCCGTCCGTCCCATATATATATATATAGTATCAAATGTCTAATAAGACAGCAGATTTGCACTTGGGAGCAAAATTTATTTCGATTAAAATCATAGTCACCAAAATGTATCGGTTTAATTTGCCTTTGCTTACTCCTTCGGGAATAAAGGCGTGACTGTATCTACTAAAAGTCGATGAATCCCGTTGCTGACCAATTTTAGTGGCAAAATAAAGAATAGTGGTGCTAATTCTGTTGTTCGGAAACTCTCTAAACTAAACTAAATCACAAAAAAAATTGTTGGTCTCTCAAATATTACGTTTTCACAATAGGAAACGTTCTTTGACAGAACTAAACAAATTTTTAGTGATTTTTAGTTTAGTTTAGAGAGTTTTCGAACAACAGAATTAGCACCATTGTCTTTCCTTTTTATGTACTACATTAAAATTACGACCTATGGGTCAACACAAGTACTAATTATTACATTTTACATTTTGCTCCCAAGTGTACAAAGTAAGAATGCAACTCACTCACTGATATAATTGTTTTTCATTCTCAATGAACTGCGCTTCCACTTCGTTGGAGCGACTGCCTGCATACTCGAGATCCTCTGCTTATGCTGTTGGTCTACAAATGCCAAAGAAAAATAATAAATTAGCTAATATATAGTTATATTTATATAACCTAATTTTATTTAACGGTTGGCGCATTTGATGTAGGGGCTACCTCTGATTTAATACGTCCAGTGGAGACGCATCAGGCGCTAAAAGTTCCAGAATAATTACTAGCAGGCGACACGCAAAAGCAGGCCTGAGAAGGTGGCGTGACGAGATCCTCTCGCAGCAAGTCCTCTCAGCATCCTCTCTTAAGTGAACACCTCCGCTTATGACAGTATTACTCTACAGTCGGCTAAGTCTGCTGAGGTTACACTTTCCATGTATGCCACATATTGCTTACAAGCACTGTTTTTTTTAAGTATGTTGAAATATGGTAGCAATTACGAAACCTCACGGAACTGAATGCTATTGACTTATAGGTAAAATTTATTTGTCGATAAGATAAAATTTCATTGAGCCCAAGGGCCAAAATAATACTTACTTCTTGTTGGAACTTTTGACTTCTGATTCTCTGGGTTCTTGTAAGATATATCATATCTGTAGTGGTGGCTGCTTATTTGAACTCTCTTTGGGCTCAACATGGCGTGATCTTTCCGTAGCTTTTCTAAGTAGTTAAGGACATTGTGGTGATCTGCATCGGCAACATAAGTAGGCTCCGTAGAGTCTAAGCGCATGTTCGCGTAAGTTGTATACGTGGTACCCCTGGTACCTTTGGCCGTCGCTTTCAGCTTTTTGCTAAGAAGTAAACGACCTGGCGGCATCTCATTCTCATTTTTTTGTACTTTAGTAGTAAGACGATAAGAACTGTCTATTGTATCATACTTTTCATTTAGTTTAATCGTTTTAGAAGACAAACTTTCTAATCTATCAGTTTTTGCATCCATTTTAGGCTTTGTTATTCCGTGGTCAAGGGATTCTGAGTTGACAAAACCTGCATCTAAAGATTCATCTTTTTGAGGTAATCTCACAGCAACAGCAGGCATATCACCGGCTTGTTGGTTAATATCGTCAAAGTTTATGATGGTTATATCCACGTCTTTATTCAGTGGGTCTTCACTTGTAAATATGATCGATCCACTCAATTTTAAAGGAGTGTCTGAGACGGAATCTTCTTCTTCAGGTTCTACTGTTGAAACTAAAGTGGTTCTCTCAGTGGTGGCCGTCTTCGTTATCAAAGTATATTCTTTTTCCATTTCCAACTTTTTGTCAGATGTTTGATCGAAATGAGGTTCAAAGGTTGGTAGGAATTTGGTATCAACTTGAGGCCCAGATTTAGGTTTAGTTTTAGGTACATTTATTCGCTTCATTTCTTGTAAATGGCTTAATTTAGCTTGCAACTCCGGCGAAAATGTTTCCTCTGGGCCAGCTTTCGGTGCAGGCAAAGTCTCCATTTCATATTTTTGCCTAAATAGTTTCAACTTTTTAAGTCTCTTGTAAGGGTTCAAGTCTTGCATTGGATATGGCCTATCAAGTCCGTAACTGATTTCTCTTTCGTATCTATTCGAGCCTAATGATGGATTGGGCCCAACTCTTAACTTCTTTTTCATCTTGTCCATTGACTTAGCTGTGAGAGTTAAATTTTCTTTTTTATTACTAATTTTATTGTGATCCTTGGGTTTGTGTCTAAATTTGTCTATACGAGTGGAATATTTTGAAAAGAAGCTCGTCAGTTTGGTTATGGGTGAAGAGTTAGGTGGAAATATGGGGGAATGAGAATTTTTCACCAAACTCATAGTGGCGGGCTTAGACCGTGATGACCAAGAATGGTACAGTCTAGTTTGGCCGTATATTGGCGAGATAAGTGATTCTACGTCCATGCCTTGTTCCTTAAGAAACTTATTAAAATCGGATGGCTTCATCGGCAAGGGGGTTGAATAATACATTTGTGGTCGTTTATTCGTTTTTGCAACAACTTTGCCCTGAAAGAGAAACAGCTCAAATTAAATCAATGCGAATATATGTTAAATGATATCATTTGGTTAAGTTATTAAGGGCTAGGATCATAGGAGCCAGGTCGATACAAATATGTCACGACCCTACTCGTACTCTTGCTCTAAGTTAATAGACTTATCGAATGACTGGTAGCGGGAAGAGCTGCCCGCTGTCCGTCATTCGGTTTTTTTCTCCCAATCAAATTGAAGATGGGTGATGAGTTTATTTACTACATAAAACAGCCCCCAACAGAATTAGGGCAAGTTTGTAGTTGGGCTTTTAGTAAGTAGTAACGAAAGAATTTCTTAATACCGGTTTTCTATGAAGCCGTGGAATCGCAATATTATAACTATTAAAAGTTAAAAAATATTTTCGATTTGACTAAAATAAAAATAAACTTCTTACCAATGCTGTGTGAGTCGTCGCTTTGGATTTCCCCTTGCTTAATTTTGCCGTTTTCTGCGAATTTCTTGCTGTAATACAAATTTACTAAACAGTTTTATGGAATAACAAACAAGAAAATGCGTTATATTTAATACGACGTGGCATGCAACTGAAAAAACACAGAAACAGAAAAAAAGGAACTGAACTGTCTTACGATTTGATGTTTAGAACCCGTAGTCGAATAGAATACGGCATTGTGTTTATTAAGCATGTTCATAAAATAATCAAAAAACAACTTACACATCTTTTTTACATCAATCCCATTTGTGACAGTTTCCACTTCATCATCATAAGATAGCAGTGTTGTATCTACCATGAGTGCTGGCGTGTCCTTCGCGTTATCTTTTCTAAGGCCTAGTAAACAAATGCTTTATTAAAATGATATCAAATTTTAAAAAACATTAACTATCTGATAGACAAAAAACAGTCAGGGAAGCATAACATAAACAGATCCAAACTCGATTAGGGTTTGCAGAATCAAATATTGATCTTTGAAGAATAGTAACAGATTCTTCGACCAGCATGTAAAGAGGAGAGAATCCGTTAATCAACTTCAAAATCAAAACCTCTACATCTGTTCTCGCAGTTTAACTCAGAGGACCGCCGATTGTCAGAAATCTTACTTGCATGGTTGTAGAACCAAACCTACAATTGACTTTAACAAACAAAAGTACAATTACGTACAAAAATCATAGCAAAATATAGTACACGGTACAAAATATTGTTCCAGTAATAGTAGAATAAGTACCAGTAAGTCTATCAGTCTTTGCAGATTTATCTACTTTTGCATCCTTCTCGGATTTGCCCGTCTTTCTAGATATTCCAAGTAAATCAGATTTAGCAGACTTAGCAACTTTAGCAGGTCTGGGGTTCCCTCGAGATGGGTCATAATTAAATAGCCTATAGATTTCAGGATACGGCCGCTTTGAACCGATGTAGAATTTGCGAGCAAGCTTGCCCAGACAATCCTCTGGGGGCCTGGTTTCATGACCTTCACAGGTCCAAGTTATAGGACTGTGCACCGTCCAGGTTTTCTCAGCGTTAGATTTCTTAGCAGAAGTCCACTGTATATGGCTCTCTGGGGTGAAAACTTTCGGCTTACAAGACGGCGGTGGCATTTTCGACTTTTCGTCAAACCATGTAATAGGGCTCTTGACGGTAAAGTTAGCGTCAGCAGTCCAGGCGTTCATAGTCGGTTTAAACGGTTCATTCTCAGACCACGAGGGCAATTGCAAGGTCGAAGCTGGTGGCAAATCTTGAAAGCTACTTCCTATATTTGGTCTATTGTACTGAAAATATTTTTGCTCGCCCTTTATAAGCAGATCTTTACTTTTAACTAAAGCTTTATCGTTCAAAACTACATGTCTGACCATCCCGTCGTTAAAATTGTGCCCTTCCATATTATTGTCACGAGTTGGTTGTGCTATTGGATGAAGCTGATTTTTTGGATTCTTGAATGTCCTATCTAATTCTTTTAATTCACCCATCATGGTGAATAAATTTGGGGTGGTGTATTCTGTAGTCCCGAAATCCTTCTCCACGTCCTTGACAAAATTCCTCCATTCAGCTTGAGGTACCTTATCAATGTTCAAGATATCATTGTTCCACATCAGTAAATCATTGAAATAGTCAATATTTTTGAAGTTTTTATCCGTCCTTATCGGGTTAAGTCTATCCTCAAACTCGTGTTTCCCCACTGGTTCTTCTGTGTATTCATCAGACATATGATAATCGTGAGGTATCGGGATGTCGATATCTGCAAAGAATTCAGAATCTACTGTTAAAAAGTACGTGTGTAACAATATTCCATTTGACATTTTAAGAGCGTTAATAAAAAGATAATAGATGCAATTAAATTAAAATATGCAAAGAAGTAAAAAATAAAACATTTTAACCTTATGAAAAATTTTGAAGGTGAAAGGTTAAAATTGTGTTTCATTGATTTTACATTGGTACTACGGAGTCTAAAACAAGTCTTATTATCTAGTAAAGGCTTTGTCTAGTCCTTGATTAGATGGACGTGTGTTATGATTTAAATTATAATAAAATAAAGGATTTTAATAAGACTACAGTGTTTTTAGCCAGAGATAATTCTATAGGATACACAAATATATTTAACGCGAGCAACTGCTACTTGGTATATTTTGTAAGCGCCAGAATGCACCATATTTAAAAAATACATTCATATTACTCACTTGACTGGACATTCTGGCGAACCTCCAAACGTTTGGTTTTAGGTATAGAAAGCTTAGCAATTCTTGTCAACTGGTTCGTGTAACTCAGGCCATCAAGCATTGGTTTTACTAAATTGGTGTCGCTCTTCACAAAGAACGTACCACCTCTGGAGTTATTGGCTCTCAAATTTTGTTCAGTTGGTCGCATTCCAAACTGCATCTTGGCTATCTCCAAATTCAGATCAGGGAGCGTCTCATTTGTGGCAATAGACGTCAGGGCTTTCATGACAATCGAAGGCAGAGTTCTGTAAGTCTTAACATTGACTGAAAATACTCCTCTTAAGTCTTGTGTGTATTTTGGTTGCATTTTTGTGGATACCGTTCTCATTGTAGTTGTTTTTCTTTTCGGTGGTTTCATGTTACCTGAAATTAAGATTTGTATGATGCTGTAAAGCGCTGGAGATACTGCCAATAGCGTTAGATAGTCACGGTATTGCGATGTCAGCAAAACTCCCTTAAAACCAAAACTCTCTACATTATTATTTCTATATTCTTTCCATATAGCTTCTCATGAGATTGAGAATTATAGTTATGTAATCAGCCGGGAGATTGTAAAGGATAGTGGCAAAGCTGTCGTAATTCTAATAATGTGTGAATATATAGAGACACATAAGTAAAGATGGCAAAAACATGTGCATTGGCACCAAAAAGAGCAAACATGTTACGTGGTCCCTGGCAACTGCTAACCTACTCACTAACATATTCGATGTTGACTTACAAGTTTCTGTAATTATAGTGACAAGTAAAAGACAAGAAATTAGGAACTATCGAGTAAATAACTGCACTTAATGCATCCACTAAGTTCAATGAATACCAGCTAAGGTATAACCGTCTATGCACATTGGTCATCAGATTGTAAATGTGAATTCTATACAGTATACCCAAATTGACGCTAATTACTTATACAATAATAAATATTTTAATAAACCGCATAAAATCAAATCGACGAGGCTGTGCGAAATAAATTGGGAATCTAAAATTGTAAGTTCTTAAATGCATAGAGGTAAATAAGCACGATCACCTGATGATGGTCCGTCTGCTCGTGATCTTGAAGTGACTACAGCTGCTCATGCACAAGTGAAGTCAAGAAATACAACATACGTTGCACCTCGAATCCCTCCGAATTCGTTTTTACTCACTTACTTGGCAAAAACAATTAGCTTAACGGATGTTAAACAGAATTTCTAAACAATAGTTTTCACTGACACCACTACAGACGAGCCGGCCTTTATGTCCCGCCTTCATGGCACTCACGATTATGAATAAAGTAGAAATGACTTACGTGTTGATTTATGGACTGTCTCCGGTTGAACATATAACACACTCTTCTGCCCGTCGTCCATCATCAGCAAAAATGTTGAAGGTTTTCCTGAAGTACCCATTAGGGAATTAAACGATGGATTTTTTTCTTGTTGAGACGGCAGATTGTCGAGATATTGTTTCACTGTTTGAGATGATGAACTATCAACAGATTGAACTTTTCCAGCTTGAGATGGAACATCGAGGGCTGCTGCTTTTCCTTGTAAAGGGGGCTGGGTATCTACAGGTTGCAGTGTTCGTAAAGTTTCAGAAATACTAAAATTACTACTATCACTTATCATTGGTACTTGCACATCATTTGTATCCATCATGAACTTGTTCAATTTAGTTGTTTTCTGTTTTTCTATAGGTCTGTCCAAAATAGGATCATATACAGGATTATAATGTGTCTTCTGAGTACTTTTGGTAGATGTCTTGACATGCTTACGTGTACTATTTGGTTTCGTGAATGGTGTTTTTTCACTAGGTTTAAATATTATATTTTTGAGACTTTTGAATGGGTTGAACCTAGGAGGTCGGTAAGTGCACGCACGTTTGTCTTTCTTCTTAGATTTCATTGGCTTAAAATGGAATTTTTTGAAGAAATCTTTCAATTTACTCTTCTTAACTTGTTTAGTATTGTTCACGTGGAGGCTGATTGAATTTGTTGGCACAAGATTGACATCTACATAACCAAATTTGCTTCCACTTTTAGTTTTATTCTGTATCGTGACATCGGCTTGCATTTCTTTCGCTGGTGTAGAAGATCTTTCTTCTAAGTCTTTGGTAACAAAATCTTCGGCAATACCAATGCTTTCATTAGCCCTCTTGTGTCTATCTGCCGCATATGTAGTTGCTGCATCCATTGGTTTTGTTGTACTTTCTATATCTTTGCTAACTTTTACAAGCTCTGTAACAAATGACATTATCTTTGTACCTTTATTAAATACTTTAAGACCTGTCATGTTTGGGTTAGACAACCCCTTTTTAAGGTTTTTCTCTAGACTGTTCATAATCTACTCAACGAAGGGTGTTTCGTATACCATAAGTAAAACTTCTCAGTTTCACAAAAAGTCTCAAGTTACATCACACAATCTACTCAATAGTTTTTATTAAAAAAAACTATAAACTATGTGTTAAAACTCTAATGATAAAAGTTAACGTACCTTGATGAAGCGAATCACTCATAGTAGTACTTTTAGAGTCTAAAGATTTTGTCAGTTGATCCAAATTGATCGGTGGTGTCGACTCTTTAGTACTCGACTCAGAAGTACTGTCATCCGATCCTAATCCATAATAAATGTTACTCAGGCTTGAACTCTGATTATAAGTTACGATTTTTGTAGACTGCATTGGATCTGAACTTATATCAGCTATAGGCGGTTTTAGAGATACTACTTGTGAAGTATGAAATTTTTTTGGCGGCCCATAGTCCAAGAATATGTAAAAATGCTTCCTAAACCATGAATCGTCAGTTTTAGTTGACACCTCTTGGTCTTCCATATCCATGTCTTCGAAGAATCTTTTCAGTCTGTTTACATTAACTGGATTGGGATCTTGAGGAAGCTGTGGTATTTTATCAAGTATATATTTCCCAATATCATCTACGTTGTGATGTCTGTGTGCTTGGTATTTAACCATAGCAGAGAAATTGTCCGCCTTCGCCTTTTCTTGTTGGAACTTAAGGTAATGTTTATAACCGTTTACAAAGTCTTCGTATGCTATCTTTTTGCTCAAATCCTCGTAACTGGTACTAGGCATCATTTCATATCCCTTGTCGTCAACCTCACCTGCAGTAGGCGTAGACAGAGTTTTTAAATATTCGTAATCAGGAAGTAGTTCTCCATCTTGGTGTAACTTACGCACAGAATCTTTTAGTTCCTTATCTGTAAGCGTTTCGGCATTTCTTTTAGATAATCTGTATCGCTCGTTCTTGTTTGAAGGCAAATTTGCTGTTGCGATTAGTTTCATAATGTTGTTTTCTTGAACTTTTTGTAGCATTTGTTCATATAAATTTAACATGTTATAGTCATCTGTGTTCAGAGGTTCCGCTTCTGTGATATTCACATCTGCAGGAGTATTATCTCTTTCAAGTCTATTAAGAGAAAAGGGTTCTTCTTGTTCGTAAAATTTATCATGATGTTGAGGTGGTTTTGTGGACGTCTTAATGGGATATTGAGAGACCTCTCTTTGACTTGTAGATTTTGTCTTTTGTGTTTTACATTTAGTCGTTGTTTTATTTGAACTTGTTGCTGGCAAAACAGTGGGAGTTCCATTATTGGCAGTAACAACAGTAGCAGGTGTTAGTATCGTTGTTGTCATTGGCGTTGTTGTTGTTGTTGTTGTTGTTATTTTTGTCGTTGTTGTTGTCGTAGCTGCTGTTGATGTAGTAGGTGCTGTGACAGTAGAAGTTGATGTTAAATTATGTTTAGATTTGAGCGGTTCCTTTGCTACCTTGAGCTTCATTTTGTGATATATATTCTTTATTTCTTTATGTAGCATCTCCTCAATATTAGATATCGATAAAGGTTCATTTGTGACCGATCTTGTGATCACATGATGACGTCCGGAGTCTTCATCTACTTCCTTCTGAAAAATATTATCAACATGTAGAGTGCTAAGGCGAAATGGAGAGAACGGTGTGCCCCACTTATTCCAGACATGTTCAGCTCCAAAAGTAGCTTCGGTTACGGTATTTGATATTATATCAACCATTGATGGACCATTCTCCACCACAGTTTGAATGGCTTTCATTTTAATTCCAGTTAGCAGTTCTTCTATTTCTGCTGTTCTAGGATAACCAAGGGTAGTATCTAGGTTGGAATCCTGCGACTTCCTCACGCCATACATCTTTTTTAAATGATTTATTTGTGTATTCATCTTTGCTATTGCAGAATTCATATTTTCAGTAGTTTTTTTATGAATACTTTTATCTATTAGTTCCACCATTGAAGGAGTGAGTTTAGTTGCATACATAACGTATGGTGTGAAAACAAATTTAACATTATTATGTTTTTTTTTTAGAGGAACATCTACAGTTACTTCCAATTCGTCATCTGCGGTGACAATTGCAGGCCGTTGAAATACAAACGAATTAAATTTCTTCTGTTTGTTTGTGGGATGGTAATACAAGAATTCCTTATCATCTGCATCTTTAAACTCTTTATATTTATCGCTTTTAGCGACTTGCCTTTTCTTTGCATTACCAATATTGGTGGTTATAGTTTTAGCCTTAAACCTTTTCCAGAAGCCACCGATTTTACGTTTATGAGACCTATAAGTTGGATTAGTAGTAGTGGCATTGAAGGTGATTAAGTCTGTGTAAGGTCTATCAGCAACTTTAGTAGTTTTTGATTCAAAATCAGTCCCCGTGATAACATAACTCTGTCTCGTGGGTATCTCTCGTATCCTGTGATTCCGGTGGATTCTATCGCGTCTGATCCTATGATGATTAGTGTTGTCTAAATTAACTATTGTGTCGGAAACGTCATCTATTCCGTCGTCGGTGTCAATACTTTTAGATATAGTATGGGTATTGCTAAGTACCATCAGATATAATAAACTGAAAATAATTGAGTTTAGGTTATCACACATAGTTATTTTAATTGTTCCTTCTATTAGTGTTGTTATTAAAGCTAATATTGTAGTTATATCCGACTTACAATTTCTATTAAATGAAATCTCAGTTCGGATTTTCTAATATATTAAGATATTTACTAGGATCAAAAACAGGGGCCCACGCAAACTTATGATACTTGACGAGTCCTAGGGCAAGTTGATCGTATCAAAAGTCGCAATAAATTTAATCTAGATTATTATTATTAAATTAATATCTTCCTTAGAGGGCGGGAGGTTAAAGAGTTAACGTATGTATAAATAAACGGTGAGGGAAAAGGTAAAATCGGCTTGATTATACCTAATAGACCAGAAAATTAAGGCCACGACTGTATCATTAAGATTGGCATTATGGCGTAGCAAGGTTAGATCAGAAATCTTAGCTAGGTACCGGTATGTTATACCATCACATCTCCAGCACTTCGGGAATAAGAAACCCTGACCTTTTCGACTTTTAATGTTTGTAAATTAGTAAATAATGTTTTAATATTTTATGTTCACTTGTAAATATGTACCTTGGAAAGAATTTTTAAGAGCATAACTGGACCATACCTAAATATATAAGTAAATATTACTTAATTTATTATTTTTTCAGTTGAAGTGTGCTGCTCTAATGTATTCTATGAAGTAAAGCAATTTCGCCATATTCAAGATATGTACTTGTATTATTAAACAGAAAACTGATGTCCAGACCAACCAAGATCTAGTTAAAGTAAATATAGATCACAATAAGTGATCTTAGTGGCTTTTAAAACAATAAAAGCCTAGTAGTAATGTATTCTACAACTGAATCGCCTTCTGAGTAAGCAAAACACCTTAAAGTCTTGTAGAATGTACATGTCCGAAATTTTACTAACAATAAACACTAACGATTACTTTATTCTTAAAATAGTCTGATAATATATAAAAACCATTACAAATTGATCCGCACAAAGAGGACCACAAAATGGTAGTATATTGTAAATGACATTCTAAAACTCGGTAAAACTTCGATCATTAAATACTGACTAGAATAATATTTATATATATAAGAGATTTCCACGTATATAGTCACTCATCACGATATCTCTAGAACCATTAGAGCTAAAGACTTGAAATATGGTAGGAATATTCTTTTCACCGAGTAGAGGTCAGCTAAGAACGGATTTTAAGAAATTCAAAAAAATAATAATTAAATAATGTAAATAGCAAAACAACGTTTGCAGGGTCAGCAGGTTTATATATATAGGAGTTTGACATTCATAAAAGTCTTTGCAGAATACTAAACTCACATCAACAACAAGTATGTCAATCAGAACTAATGACAAAGCAAATAATACCCGCTTTTCTGGACGTATTCTTTGGACAAAAGAATGGGAACTTCTGTGACAGCCCCAGGAGCTACAAATTGAGTGTAAGAAGCGTCACGTGTAAAATAAAACTGACTTACCATAAAAAATTGAAAAATAACATTGGCTGTTAATTATAAAACCCGCTGTTCGCATGATACCATGTAAAATGTCGATAATCTAACAAATATAATAAACTTCTAAGAACTTCAATCGCCACGATACTTTTTTGTTTTTCGTTTGTGTCAAATTGTTGTGTCATTTTTAAGTTTGGTCTTATGTATTACTTTACTCTTCTCTATGGTCTTAAGAAGTTTGTATATTGTGATTCTTCTCTTTCTTCTTCTCAATGTCTATAAGTGATATGATTTTTTTTATGATATAGAGGGAGACAAGAAGATGGGTCACTTGATGGTAAGTAAGACTACGATTGCCCCTCTCTCCAGAATTAAGAAGGGGAGTTGAGCATGGCTCTCTCACGGTTAACACAATATTATAGTCATTAAATAATTTTTAGGAATGGACAAAAGTTTTTTTCAGATTTATCATCGAAGATTAGCAGGTGGAAGCCCTAAAATTATACAAAGTCTATAAGTAGGGTACGGAAGATTTCTCTTTGAACAAGAATGTCCCATTCATATATGGAAGTACTCCTCCTTTGCATCGACAGCCTTCGAAGGGAGATCCACAATCGTCATTATAACTGAGGTGTTTAAAAGAATGACTACTGAATTTGTTGCTCTCGGGGATTTTCCTGACAGCATCTTTCCTGTGTACTCTATACCTAATTTACTATTGGGTACCGTAAAGAGCCGTAGTGGAATTAGCGAGAATGTCCCTTTACCACTAACTAAGTAATAACTTCGATCCAAGTTTGACCAACTCAATAATAATAATATCTTCACATATTTTACACACGGCCGTCTGATCCCAAACTAAGAGTCTGTACTTAACTAGTAACCAGACTGCTTATAAACATACTTATATATATATATATATATCTATATATATATATATAAAAAATTCAAAGTAGATACATACTATAGATAAAGTACACCCAGACACAGAACAAATCACCGTACTCATCACATAATTTTTTATGTTTTTATTTTTATTTATTGTTTAGTTGGCTGGCGGATGACATTAAAGACATAAAACTGCAAAACAAAACTATCCAAAAAAGTAACTTAGATATAGAAAAATCTATCGAAAGCATAAAAACAACTTATGAAGACATGAAATCGAAGCTAGAAAAGTTTGAAAAGGAACGTTTACAGAGTTATAAATACATTGAAATATTAGAGAAAAGAATTGAAGTGTTGGAGTTAGGCACTCGGTCATCCACCATCGAAATAAGAAATATTCCATGGCAAGAGAAGGAGACGTTGGAGGATATCCAAAACCACGTTAAAAACCTTGGAAAAACCGTAAGCGTAAACATTAATACGTCAGAAATACGCGACATCTATCGTCTCCCGAATAAACCAGGTCGCAATAAGATAATTGTGGTGGATTTTAACACAGTGGCTATGAAACAAAAAATACTTGCGTCCGTACGTGATTACAACAGGAATAAAGAAATGTCCCAGAAATTAAATACGAGTCACGTTGGAATACTAGGCCCACCGTCCCCTGTATATATAACAGAATACATGCCGGGCAGTGGTAGAAAGTTGTTCCACCAGGCACGAGTATTTGCGAAAAACAAAAATTATAAATTTTGTTGGACCACCAATCGGAAAATTTATATACGCAGAGATGAAGCCACTGATCGTATTGCAATAAACTCTGAGGAAGACTTGAACACTCTAGAAGTGAGGGAATGACTAGGGCCTGTTTCTTTAACTAGTATCTGTTGTGTTGAGAACTTTAGAAAAAACTCCTCACAGTTACTCTCATTTATAAGCGGAAAATGGTTGCCTAGGATAACTGTCTTAAAATCTATTTTGTTAACCACATTCCTCCTACTTACTTTAGTATTTAATTGGTTAAAAGTATTGATAATGAGCCCCTTGACACATCTAATTTACATAACAATACCGACACGCCAAAAATCACTACACGTCATCTTCTCACCTCACAGACTAGATGCACACAATACTCTCACATTCTCTCCACCCCACACACATAAGGCCCTATACCTGAATATGACTAGTTATCAGGGCTTGTTTTATAACCCCGCCAGAACTGATATTTTAGCACTGTCAACCTACTTCTTAGTACATATCTCATCAAATATTGAGTGTTTCAATTTCTGTCTAATAAAATATTCTAAACGCAATATTTGTTTATTAGATTATGGCTAACGATTTATGTAAAATTTCATCAGAACTTGAAACGCTCAACGTAATGAAATCTTTTCAGTGCTCAACCGATGAATGTCTCGAATATGTCTTGGCTGTTAGTCACCCGTTTTCAGTTATGCAACTAAATATACGTAGCATTAATAAGAACTTTGACGAACTACAGGCTTTTTTGGTCTCAATAAATGTACATTGCGACATTATTGTCTTAACAGAATGCTGGTGCTCAAAAATATCTAACGTTCCTTCTATAACTGGTTACAATTCTCATTATACTCACAGGGTGGATAATCAAAATGACGGTATCGTAATCTATATAAAGGCGGGGATAAACTACTCTATTAGTGAACCTACAAATATTAAAGACTTTAACTGTATGATTTGCAAATTCGGCAGAGATCTGGCAATCGTGGCTATTTATAGATCGCCTTCATATACCCAATTGGATAATTTCCTCAATGGTTTAAACGAAACACTGTTAACACTAAAAACATACAAAAATGTTTGCATCACCGGGGATATTAATATAGATATTAAAACAAATACCATTGACAAAAGATCCCATGAATATCTTAACCTCATAACGTCTCACGGTTTAATTTCCACACACAATATTCCAACCAGATATGAAAACTGTTTGGACCATGTTCTGTTAAAATCAAAGTTACAATCAGTTACACTAATTATCCACACTCATATTACTGATCACTTGCCCACACTTCTTTTACTCTCACTGAAGAAAACTATCTCTAGACCAGACATATTTCGTAATAAAACTAATCATACTGCAATACAAAATACGATTAAAAACACAGATTACTCCCCGGTTCTATTTACAAACGACGTAAACTCTGCTACAGACTATTTGATAACGTGCGTCTCTAATATAATTAAAAACAATACCGCAATTTATAAAGTAGGACGTACAAAAAGGAACATTAAACCTTGGATCACTCCAGGCTTAATACGATGTATCCGTAACCGTGACCGGATGCATAAAGCTCAAAAGAGGGACCCAAATAATATTATACTAAAGTTATCGTACATAAGATATAGAAACTTTATAAATAAATTACTGAGGAAATTAAAAATTGGCTACCAACAAAAACTATTGGAGACAGCTCAAAACAATGTTCGGGCTACGTGGAACGCTATAAAAACAATAACTAACACACAACCCAAAGCGTCAATCGCTAACACTCTCTTGAGTATCAGGGAGAACCCAACACTGTCTGTAAACGCAGTCAATGACTTCTTTGTTAGTGCGGGCCGGGATCTGGCAGCTAAAATAAACACCTCACACATACTAGTGACCACACCTGATGGCCGAGTGGCATCGATTAGCACCCAATGTGACTCTTTTGTGCTACTCGACGTTGATAGCGGTGAGGTTGAGCTATTGATCAAATCTTTACGCAGAGATTGCGCAGTTGGTCGAGATGGTATCTCGGCTGCTATAATACAGGATTCTGCTGAGATACTAATCCCACTTGTCACACATGTCTGTCGGCTTTCATTTTCAACCGGCACCTTCCCGAACATGTTTAAGAAAGCTATAATTCACCCTATTCACAAGAGTGGCGATGGAGATACTGTCAATAATTATAGGCCAATTTCAGTTCTGCCCGCAATGTCGAAAGTGATTGAAAAGGCTCTAAACAAACGTCTGACGAGTTATTTAGAGTCAAAACACATCATATCACGTAACCAATACGGCTTTAGGAAAGGTATATCAGCTGAGGATGCTGTACTAAGTCTAGTAAATGATATAATCGACGGTTTGGACGGTAAAAGGAAATGTCTTGCCATTTTCTTGGACCTGTCTAAGGCGTTTGATACCGTCTCCGTCCCCATTCTTGTGAGAAAGTTGGAACAAATCGGCATAAGAGGAGTGCCGCTTAAGCTGTTTTCAGATTACCTTGTAGGTAGGACACAAGCCGTTAAAATTGGAAACTTCACAAGTTCTGAACAAGTTTTGGACTACGGCGTTCCCCAGGGGAGTATTTTAGGCCCAACATTATTCTCCATCTATGTTAATGACCTCTGTGAACTCCATTAGACAAATTGCAATATTTATGCGTATGCTGATGATACGGTACTCTTAATAAAAGGTGCAACCTGGGATGAAACAAAACACCACGCTGAAACTGCTCTTACAAAGGTTCAGGCCTGGCTAACAGCTAATCTCCTTACACTAAACACCAATAAAACCTGTTTCATGACATTTGCACACAAAACATCTATGCTGCCACCTACAGACACTTATCAAATTAAACTGCACACATGCATCGATCCCACTATTAATTGTAGCTGTGCAACTATCTCCAGGACTTCCCAGGTTAAGTATCTGGGTGTCTACATAGATCAGTTCCTAAAATGGAAAATACATATAAATAATTTAACATCACGAGTCAGGAAACTGATCTATGTATTTAGAACTCTTCGAAGTTCAGCAGACCTTAAAACGCTCACCATGACCTACCAGGCACTTGTTCAATCAATAATCTCCTACTGCATTACCTCCTGGGGTGGTGCAGCAAAAACAACTATGCTTCCACTGGAGATTGCCCAGAGGGCTGTCCTCAAGGTCATGTCTAAGAAGAATTTTCGGTACCCAACCAGTAACTTGTTTAAAGATATTCCGGTTCTGACAGTGAGGCAGCTCTTTGTGCACCAAACTGTTGCCAAAAAACACTCAACAGTAACATACGATCCAGGTCTCCACACAAATACACGTCGACTCAATAAAATATGTCCCGCAATTCGTCACAACACAACCCTGGCAAAACGACACAATAAAGTTGTAAGCAGTTTTCTTTAT